CGACGTACATCGCGCACGCGGGTGACAAGCGTTCCAAAACGCGTGTCTGGCAGATCGGAATGCAAGGAGTGGCACGCTAATCGTAAGGCCAAATAGAAGACTCGCGTGGGAACGCGCAATCACAAAGCAGCCAGCACGCGCAGTCTCGATTTCGGGGGAAACAAAAGCCATAGCCTGCTATATACTGACAAAGCCTGGCAGATCGCCACGAGAAGCGACCGCCGAAATTGGAAAAGGTGGAGCGGCACAAAACGGATGACAGGAGAGCCACGCGACTGGCGCCCCGCTGCGGCGAGACGCCGAAACACACTTCTCCCGAGCGGACGAATGTGTTTCGGGTCCTCGCCGTTGCAAAAGCTGTGCGCTGATGTCCAGGTTCCCCGAGAAATGGCTCTTTGATGCTCTGTGCTACCAGATCCTCACGCTCCAAATCTGCGACCGGGCACTGTATGGGTCCGTCGTCGAACTGCCAGGCTTTGTGAGTATAGAGGAGGCTATGCAAAAGCACGTGGGCGCAAATTGGGGGGGGGGGGGGGGGGGGGGGGGGGGGGCGGGGCGGGGGGGGGGGGGGGGGGGCAGGGGGAAGGGGGAGGGGGTAAAACAAACGCACGGGGTTCGCAAACAGCAGACAACTTGCACCCCGCACAGTCCCAGACTCCTTACGCAACCCAAGGTGTCATTGGCAGCTCAGCAGCCGATCACAATGTGATATCAGATGATAAGAAATTCGAAGAGAGAATCACCAAGCAAAAGGCTCGAAATAAGAAGGCACTGTCTGCGTCTCTTATATCCTCAGTGACTATCAGAATCTTCTTTTTTTCTTATTCCTTTTTTTTTTTCCTTACAAGAATAGCATGTATATAGCTATATGGCAAGTCACGATCGTTGTGGTTACCTCACCTGGATTAGCGCAGCACGCTGCAACACGCGAAACTGCTTCCACTCCGAACAATGGAATCACGCGAACACAATTTCAAGGCAATCTAATAAAAAAAAAACGGCCTTTGTAGCAAAAATAAAACTACGAGCTAAAACAACGAGAGTTCGCGTGTTCGACATAAAACTAGCGCAAGCTAATCACACATTCAACAAGTAATCGTGCGCTCGCTCATGCGCGACGAGCTCTGGCATGGTATACACCCTTTTGTTCAATTTTATAACACTAGAAGAGTCGTCAAGTCGATTGAAAATCGACTTTTTTGAGATGAAAGCTCGCGGCCGATTTTGTCAAAGC